TAATTGCATTCGACCAAAAATTCCAGTTTGAATATACAGAAATTTCCAGTGGCGAATGGAAGAACATTTTCTACAATTTCAGTCGACCATATAACCATGTTTTCGAAAATTTCTCACCTAGAATTCCCGTTCCATTTGATCATGATAGTCCTCCAAGAATTTCAAAAATTTTAAGTTGAATGGTTCTCATATGGGAAATTCAACAGTTTCGGATTTTCCGGAAACTCTCAGTTCAAAGACGTTTCTGTACCATTCGCACCCTTTCCAATCTTCCGGAAGCTTCCGTTGAATGGAAAGCACCCAAATTTTCCTACCGAGGACTTTCGTTCCATTTTATTTTCCTCCCAAAATTCCCGAAATTTTGGCCTGAATGGTTCACATTTCGGCAATTTAACAGTTTTCGAATTTTCTGGAAACTTTCTGTCCCAGGAAATTTCCTTGCCATTTGTTCCCAGGTTGGTTAGATTGCGAGCGCTCTCCATTTGCGTGGAAAATCGGTGAAAAATGAATTTTCCGCCAAATGGAACAGTACAAAATATCAGTAAACAAAATGAGGCGGGATGAGTGTGTACCATTTGAGAGCATTTGAAAACCTTTCAGTGAAAAGGACTGTTTCATTTCATTTCCCAGTAGCGTGGGAAAAGAGAGAAAATGAAAATGATAGAGATATTTTGCGATTATTCCAGCAAACATCAGAAAGAGGAATACCTCTAAATTAAGGTATTCTTTTTTTTCCTAAACATTTCTGGTGTTAGTGCAGGACGTTCCACTTGATTCCTCACTGTGACTACCGGTTTTCCATACATCTGTAGCTTGGGTATCCTGTGGTGGACCTTTGTTCAGTTAGTTCAAGCCGTGTATCACGTGCGAAAGAAGGAGTTTGTATCTTATTGGCTAACTCTTTGCTAAATCTGGGGAACCGATCTGAACATAACGCCAAAAAAATTGAAATTGAGAATAAGTTTGAGTTTGTTTTGAATCAGTGGCGTTCACAAAAATTCACACTGTGCCTGTCTATAAATATTTTGATGGCTGAAACTTGTGATAAGACGCGACGGAATCATTCGGTTTTTATCCACAATCAACTGATTTCCTTTCCTTTCGGCACAGACCTAGGCTATTTATAGTTATGTGTTTGGTCTTCTTTGCTTGTTTTGCTTTTTCTTTCTTAGCACAATTGACTCATAAAATATTGATTATTTCGGTACCCACTGTCTAGGACTTTTAATTAGCAAAAATATTACATTCGTAGATAGATTATGTTCTTGTTTTTCATTTTCTGGTAAAAGCAAAAACTTAAGGTCGAGCGTCGCTCATGGTTTTCTTTCCGGACTTAATGAAAAAGATAAATAATAATGAAAAATGTTTTAATGGCATTCATATTTAGTCATTATTTTGTCAATTCACCTGCATAGAATTAATTTCGCGACTTGGGGTAACATTCAAATAAGGCCTGCTGCTACGAAAATATAATGTCTCTGCTTTATTAGAAATTTATCAATCTGCAATTTACTTTCTTCCAAGAGGAAACGTCTGTGAAGTGTTCCTCAATGTTGTAGTACTGAATTGTAATTGCCCACCGTCAAATTTCGGCTTAGCAAATCCCGGCCGCTTATGGTTGACCAGTTTGACCGAAGGGAGAGCGCATTTTAGGAGACAAAATGGCGATTTCAGATCTTTATCGATGAGATTGTCAGTCAGCATAAGAGATTTTGCGGATAGATCTGTGGATCGAGTTGCAAGTGAAAGTGGTCAGGATTATTTTTATGTTAATAAATGCCTAAACGAGCAAGTTATGACAGTTTGTTCGATCACCGGAAGATTGGTAATTTAGCGGCAATAATTATATCGTCTGAAGTCTGCAATGAGGAAGTGAAAAATATCAAAGCCTTCAGGTTCGTGGAACAACCATTGATTTGTCTAATATGAGCAGAAAAACTCGTCGAAAGCTATACGTTATTGTATTTGCGGTGATGTATGCGTTTGTATTCTTCAAAGCTGGCATTTTGTATCGTGATAAATACAGTAAAATGAGGCAAGAAGCCGAACAGGAAACTGTTCAAGAATCGAAAGTGTTGCGCGGGAAAGAACTGTTAAGCGACTTCCATCACGAGCCGCATATCGTGCTCCAATCGGCACTAAGAGGCGAAGTCTATAACGACACATCGTTCGGGAAAACGACGCCATCATTGGAATCTCTCAAAAGGATTAAACTTTCCAATACAGATGGCTCAGACTTCTTGGTAATTTAACAAAGATTCATTCTAGAGACAGAGCCATGATATCTTGGTTTAGAAGTGGGGCCGTGACTAAACTAAACGTGAGGTACATGTCAATACACGGTTGGTTTTGCAAAAAATCTTGGGCAGATGTTGCACAGATGATCAGATTCGATATGTTATTACATTTATGAATAACGCATTTACCATGGAGAAAGCTTGTGATAACGATTTTTTTTGCTATCCTATCTTACTCGCCGCCATTATTTACTCTTAGCGTAAGAGCCAATGTATCAGATGACCCACGCAGAGAGGTAATAAGGGTTTTAAATACTAGTGTGATCGCTCCATTGATAGCGGTGTGTTCACACGAACTGCAGGGTGCACCCTCTTTATTACGCTGCCGCAAGCAAAATACATCAAAAACTGGAACAAATATTACAAAATGCAGAGCATAAAATCGTGGCTAATGAATATTAATTCAAAATACAAGTGCCGGTAGTATGAAAAGGAAAAAAAAATTAAGCCTTGTTCAAACGGGAAATGCTCAGCGATCAAACACGATCAAACATGTTTTGGTGACCAACCATGTTGATATTGCTGAGTGGCCAAGCGGTATCAAACATGTTTGAACGAACAAAATGTCTTATTTTATTTGATCAAATGTTTGACATCGTTCAAATTTTATCAAACACGGTCAAACACGATTAAACACAACCCAACACGATCACACAAGGTGTCAAAACAGGAAAATGTTTGGTCAACAAACAATGTTTGGTGGCGTTTGGTGGTCAAACATTTCCCGTTTGGACAGGCGTGTAGAATGTAGAAAAAAAGTTTGGAAACCAAAATAAAATCGACATTTATGTAATATCCTCATGATGGTATGATTTGTAAATGGTAGTAGGTACAAAAAAGTATTTGTTTTCAGTCAATATAGCCAGCGCCAATGACCAGGAATGAAACAATTGGGGAGACCGAACAAATGTAACGCCCAGAATGAACGGATTTCAACTGGACAAGCCTAACCGAGAAGTTCGCCATTTAAGAAACGCGTGGAATCCCGGTTCCGCAACCGACTGAGCTATCGTGATCAAAAACTGTTGGAGACTGGAATTGGTAAATAAATGATGTCTGGCGAAGCCAAAACAAGTGTCTCATCCATAGAACTGAAGTACCAACTCGGGCTAATACGACTGACATATGACTGCACAATAGGATTAGCATATGACAGCAAAACGTTATAATTACATCCGAGGTTCTAGGAAAAGCTATTCACAAGAAATCTCTACCGTAACACCAGGAATCCTCATTCTGTTAGTTAAGCTACTGGTGAAATATCATCTGGTCTCTTCAAAAAACAGTATACAAACACAATGAAATCAACCCGGCGTACGCCTCCGCCGCGTTAACACAAATTCGTCGCCAAAACACTAAAACACCGTTTTTATGTAATTCAACCTTTTCATTCCCAACAGGCTGTAAAGTTAACTTTTCTCTCCAGACATATTGCTGTCACTGCTGTGTATTATTTCTACAAATTTAATGACACATGGAGACAATATTCCCGGAGCAGCTATGATTCTCTTTCTTTTCTCATCACTTTTTTGTTTCACAATATACAGATATTGTACAGGGAAGTTGCACGTTTGTCACCTACAGGTCTGAAATTCAATTTCACGGCAGCTGGGTGTGTAATTTCTTCTATAGACATGCAGATTTGTTTCCCCAAGTGCGAGTGACTTTCAAATTATACCATTTGTTGCCTTTGTCCCGAGACGGTTCATTGTCTATTTACCTAGATTTATTACTTTCTGTTTCGTAGAAAAACTACGATGTTAAACAGCTTTCTTTTGTTGCATATTATTTACCAATGCATATCTTCCGACTGAACTATGGGATTTACGGAGCTTGCTTTCCTTATCTCTTATTTCTCGCCATGAAGTATATCTTCACAATAGTATCAGCAAACCCAGCTAAAAACACGAAAAGCTATAAAGACCGCCTTTTTGTTAGTTTTGTCTCTTAGACAGTTTACTGGGCTAATTGGAAAACTTGAACAATGGACCGCAATCTGGTTGACCCTGTGGTTACAAATCTAGTGTTAAACCGAAAAACGAGGATTTGGAATAGATTTATGGACCACATAGAAGAATTAGACTGCTGTAAACACCTCAGCGATAGACGGATTCAGCAAACATGTTTACATTCTTGTTGCCACCCAATTCAAATCATGTGATGATTCATTTGGGAGGTTACAAATGTTCTGTTTGTACATACTCCCATGTAATCAGTTGTGTGATAAATTGCACAATTAGTTGTAACCTCCCAAATGAATAATCACGTTGTGTGATTGGGTGGCAACAAGGGGTTAAATAAGTTAGCCAAATCCGCCTATTGTACAAGAAAATTGCACCAGCAATCTTAAGCTAGACGATCATACTCTTATTAACAACCGTATCCGAGTTACGTCTTGGCTCCCGTTTAGAATGACTGTTAGTGGGAATTATTTTCACATCGATTCATATGGATACGAGCTAAACTCTCAAGTCATTCAAATGTAAATCAAACTCGTCTTCAAAAGATTTGAACCAGGTCCCGTTTTCAAACAGAGGTAGAAGGTTATTTGCAAATAGCCTGATCAAACTGTACCAACACCTCAGTAAAACTAAGGATAAAGTTCAACGTCTAGCTCTAAATTTCATTGAGAGAATAACTGTACTCAGAGAGACATTTTACTTTCTCAGTTTACTACATGCATGTCAGCAGAGGAAACGGTAATGAATCTTGACACAAAGCGTAAAATATTTATTATTTCACATTCTTGCCCGGAAAAATTACAATTTTAGCCCTAAAAAAATTAACAAGCTTCTCCTAATTTGACCACAATAAAAATTCCAGTAGTTATTCCGCAAACATCGCATATATACTGCTACACTTGCTACACTTGCTACACTGATAATAGCTTAATTGATAGCCAATGTCTTCCACACTATACCAATTAAAAAATTAAAATGAGCGACTTGGAGCAAGTCTACTAAAAAGCCTACGGTAAACGTTCTTATTTAAACGAAAAGTCGCGATGCAACAATAAATAGGTATATTACTGACATCACAAGGTAATAAATAATTGGCCTAAAAATATATTTATATCCAATGTTGCATAAGGTAAGGCCCTCAACTTTCATCTTAACAATAAAGCGTTTACGGCATTTAAAATTACTACGGAAATGTTGTCTAAAACAGTCTACAAATACACCGATCATTGATTGCAATAAAAATCTTAACTTAATTAATTAATTTTAAAATTACTTCTGCAATCAGATCAGGTGAATTCTGCTAAATGTGTTACGTGTAAGCTTAAGGACTAGGAGGATCTTCTCAAAAACTCAAGTTTGACTTTCCACGCTCCTCAAAAGAGCAATTTAACACAATTTTGAACACACATCAACGCCGACAGGTGAATCAACACACACACACACAGACAACTAATTTGCAGAAAAGCGTTCTTTTGACGTTCACAACCGCTTCTTTTAAAAGAACACTGCTTAATTTTCTAATCGTGCTTCAAAAAGATACACAGCTCTTGGTTGTTTTTTCACGAATATAGTCAATATAGTTGAATTCAACACGGCAAAGGAACTTACAAAAAGTTCTTCTTACCCCGATGTTCAACCGGATACATGTACAGCACACTCCGTGAAGTCTCGCCAAAGTACTTAAATATTGGTTTCGTTAATTTACCCAAGAATAATTCAAAAAATTCGTTTAACCGATCAGCTCGAACATGCCGTCTTTTCGGCCAATCAGATGCAAAATCAGAGACAGGTGGCTTGATTGACTTTTCCCAACCTCGATCCCAGGCTCTCTCTCCGTTAACTCCCCTGGAATCGAGGTTGGACTTTCCCGCGCTTTGATGGAATGCGCTTTTTACTTTGAGGTCTGAATGGGTTATTCTCCTTTGGCGCCCATACTGCTTCAGTTAGTAATGCTGTTACAAGCAGTATGATGTATCTCTACTGTATCTGAAACAATTTTACATATTACAAAAAGTTTATCCTAGCTATGCTATTGAAACCGCACTATGTGTGTCTTTCAGCATGCTTACATGTAGTATGTAAGAGTGCTGAAAGTCAACATCAGTTTATCTTTGTTTCGCCGATACTGCACCGTCCTGTACATCTACATGCGATTCACACAGAAGTCAAGAACTACATGTAGAAACCCAGCGAGTCAATAATGATGTTTAGGTAGGAAACTAGAATCTGGTAAGCTTCATTTACAACCGAGATAGACACCTTTGGATGCGTGGTTTTATTAATAGCTGCAGAGCACGGAGTCCTCTGCTCGGCCTTGTAACTTCTGTTGGCAAAACGCTTCTGTTGACAGACGCTATACATACGTCACGTGCTGCGTACTCAGAAGTACAGGCGTTCCATCAACTTGGTCAGATGGTAGCTCCGAGACACCTCTTCCATCTGCAATTCCATTTTGGCGGGAATCCGTAGACGCGGTTAGCTTTTGGCGGGAAGAATATTCATCCGTTTCCGCATCCTCCACATCCAGTTCTTCGATGACAACGCCGTCAACTTTATCCACATCTTCAAGGACTTTTTCCACAACAAACGCCTCTCGTCCGTAGCGCCAAATGAGACAACCAAAGGTCAGGAATGCGACAATAGAAGGGATGAACGCAATCCCCTTTACCGCCAACGCAAAGTCGAGGTATTTTGAATTCATGCGAGGGTCAGTTGCCGCGAAGCTTTGGTTTGTGGCCGGATTGATGTTCTCGGATCTCCACGCGTAGGACAGAGTGGTTTCGTTTGCAGTTTCCAAAAACTTCGTGTCAGTGACGGAGTAGATGTATCCCCCAGGATTAGTGTACTGGCCAAACACGAAAGGGCTGTAAAAGATCTGGTTTTTCCACATGTTTAAGTCCAATATGATGACCAGCATTATGATTCCATAGTTGAACCATTTTCCAGTGATGTGCACATGCCAGTTTTCCTTCTTCAAGAAGCGCGGCAAACGGAAGTAAAAGGATGCAGTGTCTACTCCGGGGAGTTTGATATCCATATTACCTTGAAAGTGAGGAAACTCCCAGTCCTTGAAAACAAAAATAAATAAATAAATAAATAAATAAATAAATAAATAAATAAATAAATAAAATAATAACAACAACAACAACAACAAGAATAATAACAATAACAACAAAAGTCAAGACATCTAGGTACACACATACAGTATATCCACTTCACTGGATTGGTTCATGATTGACAAATGGTGTGGAAACTACGTCCATCTGAGGTAGTTTCATGCTTAAAATATTAAGTGAAAATAAAACAAAATGCTTCGGCATCTTCAAGATGCCATTGTAATGTGTCTAACTGTGAAGGTTAGAGTTTGTGCTTCAATTAAGTGCATTATTATGCATTTTTAATATTATTCAACGTAATTTATTTTTATTTCTTATTTATGTTGTGACTTATGTTGTGATTATTTCTTATTTCTGCTGTGAAGTAGCTTTCTATGTAGATAACAGTCAGTCACTTTATTAAGTCTTACTTATTTACTTGCTTACTTACAGCTGTTAAAATATGACCATAAATATAAGTTAAAAAGCAATAGCAAGAGAGAAGAATACTAATGAAACATAGAAAACATAACGAAAAGTTATGGTACAAGTTCAAATGACAAATTATTATGGAAAAATACTTACTAGATAAACAATTTTGCTCTGATTGTTTGCAGGAAAAAACTTGGTCAACAATTTACATGTACACGTACAGTACTTATACCTAATCATACCTTTTTGCTATGCTTTTGTGGCATATCAAGTGAGTTTGGTCTCACCATGGGTATTTTGGCTTGACTTTGTCTCGCAATATACGAATCATGGCTAAACCAAACTCACCTGATATACATGTACCATTGAAGCATATCAAAAAGGTATGATTAGGTATAAGTGACCCTTTGAATGTTACTACTAATTTGTAGGTCTATGGAGCCTTTATTGCTAATCATTTTCTAGTATTATGGGTTTGCAATGCATATAAAAGGTTACAGCTGCATACATGCAGCCCAAGAAATGTTGTTTACACTAACCTGCATGACAATCAGTAAGTCCATAACAAGAATGAAAGATGCCAGAAAAGCCCTAGACAGCTCATTGGTGGAAACAAAGTCTCTATTCAGGGAATCCCACTTAACAAAATCAGTTATTATTCCAGTAGCGACAATGACAGTGCAAATAATCAACACTATCCAGAACAGATATATGCGTGTCCAACCCGTTTTCCAAATCTTCCGTAAGCGTTTGTTCCAGTCTGGGTACAGCTTATCCTGAAACACAAGTTCACACAGCTAACTGTAAGTACATATTTTTCATAAAGTACCATTCAAAATACACCAACAGGTGTACATGTATCTGCTCAAGGTCCACAGTGTTGGAAATTAGTGCTTGGCTGCTTGCCCATGCAAGTGTGAAAAGCATCAGGTGAGCACAAATCAGTAATCACTTGATTGTGTGGTGAGTATGATTTTCACTTTTGGGATTACAAGATACCAAATAAAGGTATGGTTTGTGGATCATTGAGGAGAAGTTTCTTGGAAGGTGAAAATTGCACATTTTGAAAGTCACTCAACCGAATGCAAGCACTGGGTATATATCTTTCTTTCCCCCTTTCTGTCCTCTCAAGCAAAAACTAATTCATAATCAGTCAGTCACTTGGTCAGCAAGTTAGTCAGTCTGTCAGTCACTTAGTCAGTCAATCAGACCTGTAGTCACTTGGCCTGTCAGTCAATTTATCTCCCTTACCTGCAACATCATGTCCGTAACCATCCAAGCTGTCACAAAATCACCCATCCATGTCCCTAGCCCTGCTGCCTTCATGAAGCTGTCATTCTGTATCCCCAGGTAGCTTGTTACATGGTACAGTGATAGTTTATCTCCGCCAGCAATCAAGAATCCATTGTAGATGAAGGAGAAGATAAACAGAGACACCAATGTGGTTAAAAACATCACCATCCATGAGCCACTGTCACGCCTGAACATCGACAGCCTCATCCATCGGTTAAAAAGCAGTTTGTGGAAAAACAATTTCCCCACCAGCAATCCAACCACAATGGCTATAAGCCACATGAACACTTTCAGGACAGACCATCCTCCTGGGGGATACCTACAACCAAAGAGCATAAGCACATGTTGTACCTGCGTTACTTCTTTTATCACTTCACAAAGCTATATAATTATTTGTGTCAGAAAGCCCCTTGTTCTCCTTGTGGTACTTTCCTCTTAAGAACAAAACCAATATTTGCGCTAAACGCATGTGCAGATTAATAAGCGTTAGTGTCAACTACATACTAGTTGGAAGATACACTAATGCTGAGTGCTTTTCCTTGTGGTAGAGCCCTAACATACGCATGCGTTCTAGCATCGTTAGCGCATAAGAATGCTACTGTGACTGCGGATCTTTTGGAATAATGCCTAACTTGGTTCAAGAAATATCATCTGTTGTTTCCAAACTACACTAGTGGGTTTATTTCATCCTTTAATTTCCTCTATCAAAAAGATCAAAAGGTTTAACCCACAACCAAAACTTTCAGAAGGAGGAGCTATATAGGAACTGTGTTACGAGTAGTGTGTCAGAACTATACATTATGCTCTGCACTATCTGAGATTGTGTCACTACTTTGTCCCCACTGAGTGAGAACCTGGAACAGGCTAGTTTTCCCTTTGAAGCAAAATCCTCTCTAAATCAGACACTTCAATAAGCAGCGTACAATTACATCTAAACAATGGGTACCCTTTTTAAATGTGTCTAAATGTAATTTAGGCTAAGTTAAACTTGAAACAACTGCTGGCCCAGGGTTTCCCTCCTGGGTGCAATACAGTCTGTGGGCTCTGCAGAGAGGACTGGGAATTTACAGCTTTAAATTTTAACAGCTTTACATTCTAAGTGCATACCTAACCAACCAGTTTTAACCCCCGAAGGTATAGGTACCCCTATCGGTGCCTAATGGGTAGGGTCTCCCATACTTCCTCTCCCAATTTGTTACCATACATGTACAACTTTGATTGATGGAGAGAGTTACAAGTGTTGTTCTTGGAACAAAACACAGCCCTACAGCTCTAAAGCTACAAAAAAAACAAAAACAAAAAACAAAAAACAAAAAACATTTTGTACCTGTAAGTGACAAAAGCAAAGTCATTCCCAACAAGAGGAATGGTGCAGTTTGCCCTGCTATGAGATACTGGATCCTCAGCATAGACAAAAAAGTTACAGAAAATCACAAAATATGCCACAAACAGTCTTGCATAGGGATGCTGGAAATAATATCTGCCATTCTTCTTCTGGATACGCACTTTGTGTTTGACCTTATCAGTATGCTACAAGAAAAACAAATTTTGAACTCATGAGTACAGACCAAATGCAGTGAGGTCTGTACACACAACCAAGGTCAAGATTCTCCCATACAGACCAACAAAGCTCGGTTAATAAGATGTTTATTATATGGCAAACAAGAACAATTTAATTTGTTTAATGTAACTGGTTTGTACTATGTGACATTCTGCTTGCAAACGGCGATGAGCTGAACTTAGTTCTGACAAAGTTACCTCGTCCTCGTTATTTTTTTTTCTCATCAGGCTTTTTGGCACTCCCATAAAATTATAAATATTGTTAAAAGAAACTAGTCAATATTTTTGCATTTTAGTTTGCAACTTTTTCACTGCAAAATGTAGCCGGTCTAGAAGCCAGTCTGGATGGGAAAATCTAGACCGCTTTCAATATTGATTTTAGCTAATCAAATTTGCTAATTTGGTAGTTCCCAGTCCTTGTGAGACACAGCCATATAATAAATAATGTTATTTGCCAGCTGGGAGGTCTGTATACATGTAACTTATTTACTTTTTCCTCTCACTCTCTCAAAACACTTTTATTAATTTATAATTGTTGACCTTTTCCACGCACGCACATTGCCTGCGCATTGCCGTGATTGTGGGCAGAGATAGAAATATAAGGACTGTGTTAAGGTGGCCAAACACAGTTTTTGCGCGTGCTTTTGCTGATGCAATTTAGTGTGCGCACAAGTATTGCAAAAAACAAACGTGCCGTCAATAGAGCGATCATTTTATTTACTCAACACCTGCACTATCCGTGCTATTTTTCTCTATAATTGAACGCAGTGTATTGAAGGCTTTAGTCTTTTATTACAAAGATATGTTAGAAAAGGCAACGATGCAAAGAAACCAGCAATTCTCAGCTTTTTCTTTGTTACCGAAAGAACCCAGTTAAATGCAGTGCATGCGTAGTAAGTCAAAAAATTGTGATTGAATGAAAAATTGCACTCTCTGAAATACGCTTATTTCTTGAGAACCACTCATAATTTTAGAATTTCACAAAATTTGGTATGAAAATACTGAACTTTAACAAAAGAAATTCTAGATATTCCAGTGAACCTTCAACAAGGGATAATTAAAGATCTATCTGTTAAATTATTAGCAAAGTGGTGTTAACTTGTGAAAAATTACCATGCAACATGACCTTAGGCTGTTAAATCAGAAAGTGAAACTTATTTGATGGAAAACTTACAGTAACTGACAGCCACAATTTTCCCCTGAAATTTGATTTCACAGCAAGTATTTATTTTTTATGCTTACGTGCGGCTGAAGGCCAGGTGCAGTTGTAAAAAACAATAAGCTTAATTGAACAAGGCAGGGGACTCAAACAAGTCTATTAATAGTTACATAAAGCAGCTGAATTAAAAATTTATGATCACGCCGAACTATTCGTGATCTTGGCTGCTTGCAACCACTCAACACTTAATGGCACAATTTCTTAAGTAGCACATTCTTCGAAAATATTTTCAAAATTAATCGCTGCATTGCATGACACAGTCTGCGAATAATTACAAAGCTGTACACAACGCACAAGTTCGTAATTACCTCGCTTAAATATTTGAGACTTCATTCGACAGCAAACTGGGCTAAAAATTTATTTTAAAAAATATGGTGATGTACATATTGGAACAGAAAGCAAAACTTCCGTCTAGCTTGACAAGTTCTTGCACAGGCAAGCTTTCTTGTTTATAGCGAGAATCAATCGATCTGTGGCTGACTTGTTCAAAGGCAAATAAATACAGTCTTCACCAGAATTCGAACCGTGATCTTTCGTCAAGGAATGTTGTATCGGCTTTTCGAAATTATAGCTGTGATATTTACACCCTAAATGAAAACAATACGCTGCTACACACCTCAATAGTTGGTGAAGCGGGATTTTGCAGCTCACTTTCATCCGTTTGGGCGACATCGCCTACTGTTGATCGATCCACGCTATCAGCCATTTTCCGGGCTTTTTTACTAACGTTAAAGTTGGCTGTTAACCTCACCAAAATGCATTGTTGTTCGAACCACGGTCGATGAAAACTCAGTAAGTACTCGAAATTTCCAAACAAGTCGCGCCCGTTATCACCTGTTCAGAGCTACTACGTCATGTATGATTACACTACCTTTCTCTTTCTTGAAAGTTCGGAAAAACTGATGGGAAATGAAATTAGTAGGACGATTACCATGCGCTATTTTTGTTAGGAAAATTAATATTTTAAAAAGATGAAGCGGAGTAACCACCATCCGCAACCCCTCTCTTGATATAAAGTGCACAAAAAAAGTGGTTTCTGCCAACCCCAAAACCGGTTCTTGCTGTCTTCAAAACCGGTTTCTGCCGATTCCAAAACCGGTTTTTGCCGATCTCGAGACCGGTTTTTTCAGACTACATAAACAGTTTTTCCCGATTCAACACCGGCTTTTGCCGACTCCAAAACTGTTTTTTACCGATTTCAAAACCGGTTTTTCTCGACTCCAAAACCGGTTTTTGACAACCCCAAAACTGTATTCTGCCGACCCCAAACCGGGTTTTGCCGATTTCAAAACTGGTTTTTGCCGACTTCAAAACCGGCATTTGCTGACTCCTAAACCGGTTGTTCCGATCTGAAATGCGGTTTTTGCCAACTCCAAAACCGGTTTTGAAGACAGCTAAAACCGGTTTCTGCCGCTCCAAAGACCGATTTTTACTGATCTCAAAACCGGTTTTTTTTCTGTCTTAAAAACCGGTTCCTGGTGATCCCAAAACCGGTTCTAACCAACCCCAAACTTCGTTCTTTTTTCCGATCTCAAAACCGGTTTTGAAACTGCCGAGCCAAAAACCGGTTTTTGCCGATCTCGAAACCTCGTTTAAGGAGGTAAGTGGTAAGTTGGGTAGCGCGAGTATTAAACTTTGCGTCGGTCGGTAGAACAANTAAAAACGTTCCTGGCTATGCCAAATCTCCCACTCTTCCCCCTCAAAAGTCAATTGGTCCACCACTAACACTGTAATAATCAAACTAAAAAGGTTCAAATAGCATAAGAAGTTTCGAGGTTCCTCATCAAGTCCGTTTGATAAATAGCCTTTCTAAACAGACGTATATATTATTCTTATTTTGTAAGCTCTGGCATGTGCATGTTGGTTTACAATCGAAACGCAAATATAGGTCTGGGCGGTCGAGAAAAAAATTTACATGCACTCGCTTAGTAGACGTTTGGCGTATGCGATTGGGAAAACCACATAGACAGATAAGCATTGATAATAAAAACTTATGACGAATGAAAACGGTACACTCACTTGTCTTGTTGTCATCTAATGACTGATTCTTTGACAAGCTCATTTTGCCTTAATTTTTAGATAAAACTCTTTAAAATCCCTCACCATTTTATCCAAACTGTGAACTTTCCGTTTGAAAAGCGACCAATATCGGTCAGTTAGCTTTGAGCACTTATACATGTTTTGTTGCTTATACACTGCTACAAAACTTAGCACATTAATAAACGGTAATCAAAAGCGACTGACCATTCTTTAAACAGAATAAAGTCACTCTCTGCGACAAGTGTACACTAATAATAGGACGATATGAATAACGTAATGCATAAATAAAATGCTACTCTGTGAAAATGAAGAAAACTTGCCACTCTGACCACATCGCACTAATCTTTCTTGGGAATGTTTGAGGACTATCAAGAAATCTTATCACATTGTCATGTATTCCTCTTGCTATCGAAAACGCCAGGCACCGACGCTGACGAACTGTGCTTGATTCAAGCTCGACCGAGTCCTTCACTGTCAGGCTTAAACAGAGCCGTTTCTAAACATTCCATCACGTTTAACCAGTTTTCCAGCTTTAAGCTTTAACTGAAACTCAGGGACATCCTATTCTGGTGGTCGGCGTTTACAGTGGTTTTACCATCTCATCTAAAAAAAAAAAAACAAGAAAATTTCTGAAGTCAGTAAAACTGGCAAACGCAAAGCATAGCGGCATGCGACACGTCCAGTCCTCTCACTGTCAGTTATCAGGGTGCAGGTAATTGGTACAGGTATCATAACTGTTACCACAGGTTTAAAAACCGTTATAAACTTCTGGTAATATGTAGAGTGTTGGTTAAAAAATGAACGGATTCAAAATTGGAGCCCTATTTTTTTTTTCAGATATCATCATCTGGAATAGTACTCATTAATGACAACAAATATCTAAAATTTTGGGTTGTTTC